TAAAACAAATATTTTTATTTAAGAAAATTTCTTATTACATAAATATATTTCTTTATATTTAAAAAATATATTTCTTTCATTTAAAAAAAGAGTTGCAAAACTACATAAATTATTAATTTTTTTAATTCTAATAGCAAGAAATAATCAAAACTTCTTCAAATCAAAGAAATTGAGTCGATGTCAATAAGTAATAAATAAATAACAATTTCACCCATTTGTGATGTCATAGTGACAAATTTTACATTGCGAAACTGTAATATATGCATCTTTCATCTCAATACATAATTGTTTTATATCAATCCTATCGCCGTTTCGTATTTAAATCATATTACTATTATGTAACTACTATAGGTAAAATGGAATGACAAATTTGAGAACATTCTCCGCAAATTCACGTAACTTTTGACATTACTGTTACGATCCAAAAAATTAAGATGTATGAGTTACGAGTTTGAGATATATTTGTGTTTGCTGGGTAATAATAATAATATTGATTATTATTATTCTATTGATATCCGGAAAATTGTCTTACTTTGAAAAGTGATTGGGGATCCAAAAAGAAGGAAAAATAGTTATATAACATAAATCGAAAAATAAATTGTTTCCGAGTCATAGCCACATTTATGTTAAAAAAAATCGTAATTTATTTTTCATAATCATAATAATAATAAGTTATTTCATAGTGTTATAATATAAATAACTTCGCGGACTCTATTTTTACTTTACCCAGGATGCGTGAAGACAACATAATTCACGCTTGGCATCGCTTTTTCATTTAAAAAAATTTTTCTTTATATTTTTTATTTTTTTTAATTTTGTGATATTTGTAAATACGATAACTAAATACTAAATAAATACGATTATTTTTAGAGTCAATGATAAACATAAACAGATATTTAAATCAAATTAAATAAGGTTTTTTAACACAAAAATGGCTATAATTCTGAAATGTCTTATTTCCGGACTTATGTTTGTATACTTTTTTGCCTTCTTTTTGATCCCACTTCCCGAAGTACTATAGTTGATTTTCTGATCACGAGCTCTCATTGAACATCTCGATGCGCGGGGATGTAACTTTATGCACATTAAAAAGCAGGCCTCCGTAAGCACTCGTTTCCAAAAATAACTGGTGAATATTAATAGACGCGTTAGCATCCACAGCAGAGGAGAAACGAAGAAGTGAGCGTGTCGAGAGAACCGCGATATTTTGGAATATCTACACACCATGATCCTATACTTATTTCATGCCACGATACGCACTAAATTCGGTTATGGACCAAATATAAAACAGATTGTACGATTATATCGAAGAAATAGGAGAGTTTCCTTGATTTCCTTCTAGTGATCAAAATTAGGGATAGCTACAAATAACATATTTTGTATTTAGCAGAAAATATAATAAAAAACAATTGTAATTTAATAAAAAAACTTTTTCAAATCCGAAAAAGAGAATAACTGTTCTTTATACTTTTTTTAATATTAAATATAATATTGAATTCTAATATCTATTACATAATAATTTGAAAAACTTTAAAATTAAAAATTTTTAACATACTTCATCACGCCACAGTTATTGCCCGTAATGTGTATTGTGCATAAATTTTATTTCTTTTAAAATGAAATATGTTGACAAATACTTTTCAATCCCATTAAAAAGTTTGTTATAAAAATTAAAATTAATAAGATTTTCGTTACAATTTACAGTAATAATAAAACATCTGATTCATTATATCATAGAGAGATCATAAATTAGGCCATTTAAGTTCTCCAAAAAAAAGAGAAGAGGAGTCACATATTTTTTAATACAGAAATTTTTGATCTTTTAAATAATAAATAATGAATAAAATGTAAGAGAAAAAAATGTACTGGAAATACAAAAAAAAATGCTATTCTTTTTTCCATGACATCGATTAATTGACATTGTTATGTCGCACAACATATAATCTAAATAGTATAATTTATGAACAGTCTTATAAACGATAAAATTTCATTTTTTTAGTTCCAAAATGTACTTTAAAGTTCATTCCTTCATATGACTATATAGTTTTTCAAAATTCTTATTCAAAATTATTTTATTATCTTTTGTTTGCGATTAAATTAGTGTCTTCAATTAAATTAATTGAAGACTCTTCTTTTCATAAGATTTAAGCTATTTTAATAATTTATTTAAAGAAAACTAATGGTTTTCAAAAAAATTTGAAAGAATTCAAGAATACTTGCATATTAATCATAAACTTAATAATCTCAAAAAATTAAGTTTTTATATTAAATGAAAAGACAAGAAAACCTTCTTAAGAAGTTTTATTCCAGTTAAAAATTTTAAATATTCTATTTATAATTTTAGAGAAAACTTTTTAAGTCAAATTCATATTAGACATCAAAATAACTATAAAAACTGATAATTTTCATTTTAGTTAAGTTTTTTAATTATAATTCTCATTTCACTTTATATGTAATATCTGTATTAATCTTTGTTGAAATTATGTATGCTATATGTAATTTTTTGATGACTGATAATTTCTAAATATTCATTTTCTCTCTTTTTTTCAAAAAACTATAATTATAAAAATATTTTTTTGAACTAAATAAAATCAAGCTCATTTTTTAATGCTCTTTTAGATAATTATTTTTAATATTGACAATGATGCTCTTTATAGTATTAAAATAATTGATCTTTTAAGAGCGTCTTAAGTACAGTCTTAAGATATCGCGAATCAAGAAAATTGTATTATTAGTATCTTAAAACATTATTTAAGACGATCTTAAAATAAAAACGGACTATGAAAACCGGTCTATGAGATTTGTATTAAGTTTCATTAAAGTGTCAAATTCACGGACGTATCGCTATATTATTTCGCTGAAGGAATGGATTATGAAACTAAGAGATTTCCAGGAGGCCGAGCACACGCTCGGCTATTTTCGAATCGAACTCTATTGCTGAAAAGAAAGAAAAAGAAAGAGAGCAAATAAGAAGTAGTCAAAATATTATCCATGAGGATCTGCGAAAATGAATCAGACGGACAATTTTGTCGCGCAAAGCTGTACATCGCTGTGATTCTTTAACACTGAAATTAAGAATTTTGGTTTCTTGCTAAGAAAAAGCACATTACCTTAGTATACATGATGATTTTCTGATTTATACGATGGATCATTCATGTCCTGAATTTATTTTAATAAATATACAAAAATTATTAAGTAATTCTATATATATAATTACATATAATTTATATCTTTAAATTTACATCTTTAGAAAATATTTAGAAGATTGTTTAGAAGATTGATTGATTTAAAAAAATTCTATATAAATTATACATATACTGTTGGAAAAAAATTGAATTTAATATAAATTGCATGTCCCAAACGGTCCATTCAAATTTTTGGGTTAATTTAAGATAAGCTAAGATGAATATGTTAAAAGCTTATTTAAACTTTACTAAAAGCTTACTCAAATATTATTTAAAAGAATGAGTATAAAAAAGTAATATTGATTCAGTTGATAAACAAATCATAAAAGCATACTTTTTCAGTAAAATTACATTTATGATATATTAAATCAACCCATATTTTATTCATTCTTCCTAAAATTTATGTTTTAAAACATTATTTTTATGTTACTTATTCATTTACTCATAAATTGTATCATTTTGACATTAATCAAGAAACGATGAAAATCAATTTAATACAAAATCTTTAAATAATATAATTATATTATGTTAAATTAACACTCGAATATGTTAAAAAATTCAGTTAGGATACATTGTTGCAATGTTTTAAATTAAGATAATTTATTTTTACGATCTTTATATGAACATTATGATTATTACGTTCTTATTTGAAGCAGGGTTTTTTCGTCTTGGAACTAATTGACAGTTACATTCTTAAACATTGAAGTTTGAGATTGCATCCGTTGTACATTTGAAAAATCTGCAGTCTTGGTTTTTATATCCATTGGATTATTGTTTTTACTTTGCTGAAAGTGAGCCGAAACGTTTGAAATCATTGTAACAGCAAACTAATGAAGACATGAATATATTTTATAAGATTATGCAATAATTTCTATGGAGTTACTCTTGTCCATTATTTTTAAATATTTATGTATCTTTTTATTTAACAGCAAAAAACGTGAATGAACCGTTTCTAACACAACTATTTTTTACCGTATAACTAATTATTTAATTCTTCTAGTTTACAAAAAAAGAAGAAATGTGCAGAACACGAATGATCCAACCATATGTACACATTAAGGATTAAAGATTGCTTCAAAATCCTTGTTCTAAATATAGATATTCTTGTTCAAGATATAGATAATGATGTTAATACATTTACATATAATGGTATTGCTACTGTCTAATAACCTACATTACGAAACTTTCTGTGCCTTCAAACATAGAGCACACACTATAAAAAGTAATGTGTTTTATTCTTGTATAAGTATTCTTGTATCCCATAAACTTTTTCAATAGACAAAATACGTATTTGTATTTAAAAAACATAGTGTTTTAAAACTAAAACATTTTTAAGTGTTTAAAAAATGGAGACAAGAATAAAACATTTTAATATCTTAAAATTGAACACTTCTTTTTTCAATGCATTTTATATATTATTAATATCTAATTAGTTATTTCATTTTTAGATTTACAAAATGAATTAAATTACAAATGAATATTAAATTAGGAACAGTAGTCCTGAGTCGACAAAGAATAGTTCATGCAAAAAGATTTAAAAAACCAAAATCTTGCTAAAAACTTTATATTTGAAATATTATAATTAATATAAGAAAATAAATATACAACTTACCGGCATAAGGACCAGAAGATAAATTACTATCTTTGCTGCCCTTTCCATCTTTGCCACCGCTTCCTGCAACAGCAAAGAATAATCGAAATTACAATAAGATATAAACATACAAACATAAAATATGTAGAATATATGTATATAGAATTTATTTATACATGCATGCAAATTGTATATGTGTATGTATACAAGAAGAGTCACTTAAAATAGACCATTTAAATAATAGTCATGTTTAATAATAGTAAAATTTAAAATGTACTATATTTCATCGAATCGCTTTAGAGTACGCATGCTTAAAAATACTGTTTTGAACATGTAATGTGATATATCTAAATAGTAAGTTAAGAAAATGATTTTTTCATTTATAAATGATTTTTTTCGAAACCAACTTCGAATGACATATTATTGTATGCCTTTCATTGTTAAAATGCTTTATTATGAAAGGAATAAAAAATACCTCATTTAAAAACATGTTGGCGACCTTGAAATGTTCTTATTCTCCTATTAATCAAAATATCTCTTCGGATATCTCCCTTGAAATCAAACAGATTTCTATCGTATTTTTTTTTGAAGTATTTTTTTCTTTTGCTAACAATAACAAAGTTGGTGACTTGTCTTGAATACCTTCTTTATGTATATGTATGTGTATATATTTGGTGTGTGTGTGTGTGTGTGTGTGTGTGTGTGTGTGTGTGTGTGTGTGTGTGGATGGGTAATATGTGTATATATAAAGCATTGAATGGCTTAGTGCGATTGACTCGTGATCTGTAGATCTGGTTCAATCTCACCTGCACCCACATACGCGATTTTTTGTGTTTTAGGAATCAAAAATAGCTCCATTTGATGATTAAAAGAACTTGATTACCAACACCGTTCAGATCTGGCGTTAAAAACTATGTCCCATATATCAGTGGATATCTGTATGGATCCCCTAGACTAGGTTAAACATTAGGCTAATAACCTAATATCGGAAAAAAATCCATTGTTACTGAAACTTCATTAGAAATCTTCCACACACAAGTTGAAGAAACATTATGTGGGATGTCCCGTAATTCCTACGCGCGTGAGGAGGTAGAGCGGATTAAACTGAATCGAAAAGTCCTCTACTATTTTGTAATTTTTGCAATAATTAAGAAAATATTAATTACTAAAAGTTGCCGAATACTAATCTTTAATAATTTTTTTCTCAAATACTATCAACTTTACAGCAAGAGACAAAAATTGTTTATTTTCTTCTCATAGAACTCTACTTTTCTTTTATTTTTACTAACATGAGAAAATACGGTATTAAAAAATTCTGAAAAAATTCTGAAAAAATTCTCAGAACTTTATGAGAAGAAAATAAACAATTTTTCTTTTACAGTTTTTCTGTAAAGTTAATAGTATTTGAGAAAAAAATTATTAAAGATATAGACCAATATTCGGCAATTTTTAATAATTAATATCTTGTTATGGTAATTATTATGAAAATTATAAAATGATGAAGGACTTTTCAACTCAGTTTAGTCCGCCTCTACCTGTACACGAGCATTGTCAGGTAAATTATGAGATACCCTGTGCACACACACACACACACACACACACACACACGCGCGCGCGCGCGCGCGTGCACGCACGCACGCATATATATAATTAAAAGCAGATTTTATTATCAACTTCCATTATTCAAGTATCTACAAATCTATATATATTGTAAAGAAATTTAATTATAATGATCCAATAATAAATTAAATATAGAATGAAATATATTTAAAATATATTAAAATATATTAAAAAAGTTAAAAAAATGCATTGATGAAACAACATGACAATCGAGCAAAAGGGAAATCATGCAAAGCCTCCTCATACAAAGGCGCATTCCGTTAAGACTAGTAATTGTAAAAAACACAGTAATCGAAAGTAAGTGAGTAAATGTGTAATAGCGCAATGTATATGTTAGCCAACGAATGTGGAAGTTAATTGGATGAGTTAGTTAAGATAAGGAACGATAATATATTATATCAATTATTCGAAACGGAATGACTACTTTATTCATAATAGATGTGTCTTTTATTTTAAAATCCCGTTTCATCGTGAAATGGAAATGAATATAAAGGATATATATTTAAAAATATAGGAAAAGATATAGGAAACATGATTTAAAATATTTTAAATAATATTAACATTTTAAATAATATTAAAGAAAAAATTTATTGGATCATACTTGTAAACACACAACTAGTAGGAAATAAAAGCCTTTAACAGTTGAAGTTGGATCTCAAATTCGATATTATATATCATTAAAATTACATGCCGAATTGATTTTTTGGACTTTTTCGCAATTCTGACAGAATTATAATAGTAATATACTAATTAGATGCTCATAGGCATCTTGGAAAAATCTTAATAATGCTGATAAACTTATTAAAATTTGTAAATAATTTTATGAAAAATATTACCTCGGTCAGGTGATTGAACACAGATCTCCCGCATGCCGAGCGAGTGTCTTCACATTTATAATTTTTACTTATATTTTTCGCAATAAAATTATTTACAGATTTTAATAAGTTTATCATCATTATTAATTTTCCAACGAGCGCGCATATGTTCTATACACATGCGCCGATTTTATGAAGGGGATACAGGTAAATTTATTTTCTGGATCTCAGCTTCTCAAGGTATTTCTTCAGTGTCTTTGAGACCATCGATTCACTCAAGTCGCGTTCTATTGTTTATGTAGAATCAATTTTTAAGATATCAGGGCATTTTTTCAAAGAAATGTTCCTGTAGAGAATACACAGGAATCGTTCAATGCCGGTGAAAAGTGAGGAAGGTGCAAAAATACAATCACCATCCTTAAATGCAACAAATGTTTTCATTTTATTTACAAAAAATATTCAATGACAATTATGATTTGCAATAATTATACTATGATTGATAAACGCATAAAACTTTTTTTTATTAATTCATTTTCTAATAAAAAGGTAATTTATTTTTTTAAATAAATGATTTAGATATCATAAACTTTCATCGCATAATGTTTATTTGCCGATATTATGCTTTAATCTTTCGAATTTTCAGTCTTATTCTATGGTGTTCTCTGTACACGGCGCGTCCGCTCCCATTATGAAAGGGAGCTCATTGGAAGGGTAAGATTCTTTTAAAATGTCTCAAATATTATTATATTATTAGTATAGTTCTGTTGTTTTAAAAAATTCGAAAAATAATTCAATACATAATTTTCATGATGACATATGTAGTATCGAATTTAAGCATTTAAAATCCCAACTTCGACATCAAGATGTATACCTCTCTATGATTGATTCAAGATATATATTTCTCTGTGATTAAATGGACTGGCGTGAACCTTATTTTGAGCATGCATATATCTTTGGCAGCAGTTAAAGGGACAGAGTTAGTCTAGTATAATATATAGAAATCTGTGTTTATTTCACTCTAAGTGTGTTCGCTTTGCACGCTCACACATTGTTAAAACCATGGTACATAGAAAAAACTTAAGACATAAGACTTAAGCAAATCAATCAATCAATAGAGATCATAAGACCATAACGTGAGCAGTAGCGAATCTATATGCATGTTGATTTCCTTACTACTGTTTAAGTCTTACGTTTTAAATTTTTCTATATACCATGACCTTTAGCATTATCCTTGTTGTTTATCAAATATTAAACAAGGACAATGCTTACAAATACAAAACAAATACTTTTTCTCGCATGCATACATCGCTGTGAGTTTGATCACTAGCGTACTCTTGCGATAGAAGTTGCAACAGTACGTACATTTCTTGATTCCTTTTCACTGAATCTTTTGTATTAGTTTAACAAATATATATATATATATATATATATATACATTAAAACGTCCTATTTTGTTTAGTATTGGTAATCGCTTTTGACTGATGATCACTGTTTTTATTTTAACAGCATATTCAGTGCAATTATTGTATTAGCTGATTTATGTTTTAAAATAATACAACGGTACAGTACAAGCTTGTTTGAATTTAACAGAACTTATCGCTTGTTACCTTTTTTTATTCGCTCATTATTATCTAATTGTTTGAATAAGCGCTAACTAAAGCTTTAATTAATTATCATTGTTCTATATTAAAAGCATTGCATAATTACTATTTATAATATAAATTTAATATTAATAAATATGTTTAAAGTATTGATTTAAACATATGATAAATATACAATGCTTTTAATATAAGACAATGATTAACAAACTAAAGCTTTATTAGAATAATATTTTCTTTATTCGACGAATCAAAGCGCTTAGTCTTATCTTCTCTCTTTTTATTAGATAATAAGTTTTAAATTCAAGCGTATTGAGTCTGAATTATACTATTACTAATTTAAGACATACATTATGCAGTACAATGAACTATTACACTGAACATTGTTGCACTTCGAATAAGAATTACAGTTCAGTTAATATTAATTAAAAGTAACATAATAAGGTGTAGTAAAAAGAAATCCATTATTTTTGTATGAAATTGAAGGCTTTATTTAGTATAGTCAGAATGATCCAATTTAGGTCAAATATGCACCGTTTTGTTCGATAACTTGTTGCATTTTGAAGGTAATTCCATTATGCCTCTCTCATAGAAACTCTCCCTATTGGGATAGTCGATTTTCACAAGCTTCTCTTGAGGCAAATTTTTCACCAGCAAAATTATTCGCTATAGACAGGAACAGGTAATCACTTGGAGCCAGGTCCAGACTATAAGGTGGATGCATAAGAACCTCCCAACCAAGCTCCCGGAGCTTCTGGCGAGTTACTATCGATGTGTGTGGCCTTGCGTTGTCCTGATGGAACACAATTCCTCTCCTATTGGCCAACGCTGGCCGCTTCTGGACGATTGTTTCCTTCAAATGGTCCAATTGTTGACAGTACAGGTCCGAATTAAGAGTTTGGCCATAGGGGAGCAGCTCATAGTAAATGATTCCCTGTCAATCCCACCAAACACAGCAAAACCTTCCTGGCCGTCAATCCTGGCTTAGCCATCGTTTGCGACGGCTCACCGCAATTCGATCTCGACCGTTTTCGCTTGACATTATCGTAAG